ATTTTATTTTCTATGCTTTTTGTTCAAAGAATTTTAAAACTTGATGGTGTTTTAATATTTTTTTACAATTCTATTTCAACTTATAATGTTTTTGAGTGTGTCTCTTTCTGTGTGTGTTAGTGGTTGCTCTAGGAATTACTTGTTATGTGCGTAACTTATCCCAGTCACTTGTGTCATTTCACCAGTTCATATGAAGTAGAGAGACCTTATTCCCTTTATCCTCCTTCTTTCTAGTGTGTTTTTTTAAAAAAGATTTTCCATTACATGCATTTATAACCCTATCAAACTACCACATTTTTATTTCCACTATTGTATTAGTCTGCCTGGACTGTCACAGCAACACACCACAGATAGTGTATCATCAACAGCAGAAATTAATTTTCTCATCTTTTTGGAGGCTGTGAAGTCCAAGATCAAGGTGCCAGCTGGTTTGGTTTGGGATTTGGAGGACAGAAACATTCAGTCCATAACAACCATCAAACATAACTTAGAACTTAAAAAAAGTAAGTGTTTTGTTTACTGTGTTCTTTATTCCTTCTGACATTCCAAGATTCCCTCTTTTATTATTTCCTTTCCATTTAGAGAATTTCCTTTTGTTGTTCTTTTAGAACAGGTTTATGGGCAACACATTCTCTTGTTTTTCCTTCATATAAGGAGGTCTTGATTTCTTCACTGGATGTAGAAATTTGGGTTAACAGTTCTTTTATTTTAGCACTGAAAAATACTTAGCCTTTCCTTTCAGCCTCCATTGTTTCTGATGATAAACATGACGCCATTCAAATGGTTTTTCCTTTAAAGGTAAGGTATTTTTAACTTACAACTTTCCAGACATTTTTTCTTTTTTCTTTAGCTTTCAGAATGTGATAGTTATGTGTCTTAATGTGGATTTCTTTGAGTTTATCTTTTGAGATTTATTCAGCTACTTGAATCTCTAAATGTAGTCTTTTGACAAATTTGGAATATTTCAGTCATTACTTACTTTCTGACATATAATAGAGCATTATTAACTACAATCATGCAATGCTGTATATTATACCCCCAGGACTGACTTAACATTAAAATTAGCAATCTGTACCTTTTGACAACTTATACCCATTTCACCCGTCCACAAGCCTCTTACCTCAGGCAACCACAAATACGTTCTTTGTGTTTATGAGTTTTTATTTTTGTTTTCTATTCTACATATAAGTGAGAGTGAATGGTGTTTGGTCTTTCTCTGTCTGACCATGAATGTTGTTTAAGTATCTTTATTATTACTAGTTAAAAATCTCTGCCACACAATTCTAGCATCTTTGGCATCCTCAGTATTACTCACTTAGTTTAAAACTTTGTTTCTTGAAAAGTTTTTTTCAGCTGAAGCCTAGACATTTTGGCATTATGTTTTAAGACTCTGGATATTATGGAAACCTTCCATTTTAGCTGGTCTCCTCTTTCACTGTTCTAACGGGGAAAGGGATAGGCGTTACTTCAGTACTGCAATGTAGAAATCCAGGCTCTCCTTTCTGCCTCCACTACAACTAAGTCCTAGAGAGGGGCTCCTCAGTACTACCAGGAATTTGAGAAGTGAGAATTTTGGGAGTGATGGGAGGCTCTGACACACACATGGTCTCCACTGACTACTGTGGGAGGGGGTTGCCTGCCTACTGCTATACAGGGTAAGTCTCCACTTAGACTTCTCAGCACCGTCCTGGGAAGGGTGACAGGTGCCCTTTTGCAGTCTGGTAAGGGTAGAAGTCATACTTTTTTCTATGGTGTTTTGAGGTAGTAGACTGATTGTTTTCTAAAAATTTTCTCATTTGCTAGGCTGCTCCTTTCCAGCCCTATAGCTAGAGAAAACCAGGTGTTTTTGTTACTGTTGTTTTAATTTTACACCTCTGGCATTTCTGGGTTGTTGGCTTCTCCAGCACCCAATCTGAAGCGGAAGTTATGCTGCAGATTGATGAGAAAATGGAGACTTAGAAAGGTAAGAAAATATGTCCAAGGGTATTTTGTTGTAAACATTTATTTGATTCTAAGCCTGTTTGGTTCCAGAGCTAATGCTCACAACTACTTGCATATACTTTTCGGGCTATTTGTCAGGAAGTAAATTATTCAGTAGAAGTGGGAATCTTCATGCTAGGATTGTTGGTAGTTACAAGATATATCTTGCTTTTAATTTCTCCAAGCACTTTATTTTGCCTGTACTCACTTTTTCATAAATTATAAATCCAGAAGTAGTCACAGCTAGTGTTTTTCTGTTCTCATTATCTATCACTTATCAGATATAGGACACATCATTCCCTTTGAGTTAAAGAATAAACTGCAAATTTTAAATTATTATCCTCAAAAATAAAAATTGGTCAAATTTCTATGAGCTTTATAGTGCTTCAGAAGAGTACCAGGAAGTAGAAGAAGATATATTATCTTTGGTTGTAAATTTTACTCACCTATAGAGAATGGGTGAGGAGTTGTTGGCAAGACTATTTGAGTTTATCAAAAGGTAGAGGTAAAGAAGAAATGTAAAACTAAATGGTGAAAACAGAAGAGTGGGGAGTACAAACAATTTGAAAGTATAAAATAATTGAAAGACTTTAACATAATTCCTAAATCTATATTTTTATTTTTAATAAAAATATTAAGTGAATTAAATGAACAACTTTTATGAAAAAGACTTTTAAGTACTCTGGAGTTTGTTGAGCTCTTATGTTTTCTTATAATCAAAATTTTTGGGAAAATTTCATCTTAATTGAAATCTGTTTTGTGTGCTTGCTAGCTAGCCTGCTACATGTTTATGTGGCAAAAATCCCGAGTGTTCTTGACACTGAAGGGAGGGGACAACAATATGAGCAGTCGTGCATAGCCTTGAGTACATAAATCCTTACTTTACTCTTTTCTTCTATTATGAAGTCCCCTTAACATTCCAGTGGCTTACTCTGGGATTTTTCTACGTCGGTCTGCAGGGGCATTCCAATGGAAGTTATTCAAATTTCACATTACTGTGTGTTCCCAGAATTACCAAGAATTGTAATAGTGATGTAAAGAGTTGTTGTTAATATCATTTCTTTATAAGGACTTGGAACCTGGTATTTGGATCCATAATCTTGTTTTGAGGTTAGAGTGTGCTTTTCTAGGGAAATGATTTTTTTTTCTTCAGAAACTTACCATGATTTGTTTGGTAGGTAGAGAATTAGTCTGGTAGTAGAAAGTTTTGTTTTGCCCATAAATCCATTGTGCAGGAAGGCTGCTCTAGTATAGAGGAGCAACTTTCAAAATTTAGTTGTCATTACTAAAACAAACTAATATCTGCTTTAAACAAAACATCTGTAAGTTCAGTAAAGGAGAGATTAAAAACTGTCCCATTCTAGAAGGAATAGAAGGAAAAATAGGGCCATAGCGCTGTCCCTTCGTCACTGTACTCATTGTATAAAGTATTTTCTGTCGAAATGCTTAGAAGTGGGAACACAATTTGAAAAACCTCCAGAAAAATACAAAGATCACTAGATTAGGACTCCAAAGACCTAAACTATAGACCCCAGTCCTGCCCTTGGCAGGCCATATGACTGAACCTCTGTGGGCCCAAACTTCCTCATCTGTGAAATAAGATTGAGCCAGGTATCTTTCAGCTCAAATACTGCAGGAAACCATTAGCAAGGATATACAAATCACAACAGTTTTGGGTTTTATCAGTTGCTTGCTGCAAAATAAGTTGCTGGCTAAAGGTTAAAAATTTGCATGCCTACCTCAAAGTTGAAAGTACTAGGAATTTTTTTAGCCTCAAAAATAAGGGAAATTTTTACTGTAAATATAAAGCCATCTTAAGCAGTTTCATTGTGTTTTTCAAATAACCAGTTCTTTACTTGACTCGGCAACTAACACTGCCTACTATCTGACTAGATCTGAGCTAGGTATGCAGGGTTGAAAAGATGGCTAAAGTAAGTTTGTCCACTACTCTATAAGCATTCGTAGTTCCCTCCCTTCACAGACACAAGGAGAGCTGTTCTTAGCAATGCATTCTTTTGTGGTGCTGTAGTCTTTCTGAATGGTAGAGATGGCTCTGCAAAGGGACATATTAAAACTTACTGAAAAATGAAGTGCAGTCATCTATAAAGACATACATAAAAACAAGAAAGAAAGGCCTTGTTGTAATGATATTTTATCACCTCAAACAAAGAATATTTTGTTTTATAGGTGTAAGAAGCTTTGCTTTCAGGATAAGCAGAGTATGTCTTAAATATGAAGATAGTTTCCATTGTCTAGAAGTACACACTCTCCCAAGTGCTGCCTCTATACCCAGATGGTTCCGGATTTCTAGTGGCTGCATGATATAGATGAAGGCCAAGAGACAAGAGTGAGTTGACAACGGCCTTTCAGGGTGTGGAAGAACACTGCTGAAAGCCCATTCCCTCTACACTTAAACCCAAATTCCCTTGCTGTGATACTACAGCCTCGGGGCATATCTCCCTTTGTTATTCAGACCCGTAGATCTTCTAGCAGTCTACCGATACATAGACTCTCCCTTTGAGAGTGACTCTCCCCAAGGTGGAGCTGCTGTCCACCCCTTACTCTAGACGTGGCTCCCCTCCCAAGCAGCCATCCAACAGTTGACTCGTGTTCAAGGGCCACCACCATCATCCACCCCAGCACCATCTTCCAGGAACTGGCCTCTCCCCCAACAGTCCCCGCCCCTCCTCTGAGTGCACCCAATGGGTGGCGTCGGGGCTGGGGTGGGAGGGGCCTGAGGCGGGCGCATTTAAAGAAAGGCAGAGGGCGAAAGGAGGCAAGAGAGGAGAAGAAAGAGAAACCAGGGGGGCGAGGTGCCGTCCAATGACAAAGCCCAGGGGTGGGCGCCGGCCGCCATCTTGTACCGGGCAGCAGGATATTCACCCGCGTCCTCCACCCTCGGAGGGGGAGGGGCGGCGACGAAGGCGAGAAAAGTAGCGAGACGCGCCGGGCAGGAGGCGCCAGCAGCGGCCGCCACTGCGGAGCCGGACTCGGGCGGGGACGGCGGCGGCGGCGGCAGCAGGACCCGGCGAGCGCGGGTGGCCCCGAGCGGCCTCCGATGCGGCGCAGCGTGAAGAGGCGGCGGCGCCGGCCCCCGGTGGCCCCAGCCACGGCCGCCCGGGGCTGCGGCTTTAGGGCAGGAGGAGGGGCCGGGCTGGAGGCGCGGGAGGAGAAGGTGGTGTACTCGCGGTCGCAACTGTCGCTGGCCGACAGCACCAAGGCTCTGGGCGACGCCTTCAAGCTGTTCATGCCCCGCAGCACGGAGTTCATGAGCTCGGACGCGGAGCTCTGGAGCTTCCTCTGCAGCCTCAAGCACCAGTTCTCCCCGCACATCCTGCGCAGCAAGGACGTCTATGGCTACGCCTCCTGCCGGGCCCTCGTCCCCGACCCCCCGGTGTCCCCCACCGCCCGCGGCCAGACGCGCAGGCCGGCCCGGGGCGCGGCCAGAAGGAGGCGCCGCGGAACCCGGGTGGCCGCCCTTCGCAGAAGGAAGCCTCCGCCGCCACTGCCACCGCCGCCCGCGGCCCCGGAGGAGAGCACCCCCTCCAAAGCCACGGCCCCGGCGCCCTCCTTCGGGGGCCGCACCCTGGAGGAAATCTGGAGGGCCGCCACCCCGACGCTGACCACCTTCCCCACCATCCGCGTCGGCGGCGACGTGTGGGGCGAGCGCAGCCTGGCGGTGGCACGGCGCAGAGCGCGCCAAGTCCTGCAAGTGAACCTGGAACCCGTGGTGAGGCTCCGCCGCTTCCCCGTGCCCCGGGCGTGAGAGGCGTCTCCGCCCCGCGCTGCCCTCCGACCCTGGGACCCTGGGACGGAGTTTCCGCCTGGAGGGTTGGACAAGTGTCAGTCGAGTGTTTACAGATCCTGCCAGGACCCCGTCCCCTAGTGCACTTTACGGGCGAAGAAGTCTTCGGAGGGCTCTCCCGGCTCCGCGCCCCAGGGACGCGGCGCCTCCGTCTGGGACCCCAGGGCAGGTGTGCCCTGAGCTGCCTCCAGGCACCGGACTGCGGAGGGAGGAGACAGCAGGACCCACCGGGAGGTCCTTTTTCTTCCTAACCCCAGGGTGAGATGTCTCCAGGACTATTGGGGCAGATCCGTTTCTCCCTTTTGGACTCTACCTCACTGGTCTGGAAGCCCTCCGAAGTCGTCATTATTTTTCCAAAGGAATTTGGTTTCGTGCTTGTGTAATAAAGCCAGAATTTATTTGCTGTTCGTCCCTTCCACCCTCCCCTTTTTTTCCTTTTTGGCTGCCACCCCTCCTTCTGGACGAAAGATCGAACATGTTTTGTGGTGTTGCACTAGTTGGTGCTCAGGGTATTCTGAATCCCGTTCACTTCCTAGTTTTAACTGGATTCCAAAGCTTTGACCAAGAATTTTTTTTAGAGAGATTCAGGCTTAATGACTGTTAATAGTGCAAGGATTTGTATGGCTCTGAATTTGATGGGCTCAGTGATTACAAAGAGATGCAATGTACAGCCGTTAAAAAAAAACAAACATTTGAAGGTGTTTCTAAAGATTTTATATTGAGATTTAATGTTTATATTTACTGAGCATCTAAAAATGGTAAAAGCTCAAAGTTTTGTTTAGGAAAAGTTGACTTGTTAAATTCTTTTCGATTGAATAAAAATTAAAGTGCATTTAAACCACATGACTTGTGATAAAAAAACAAAACCACAAATGAGTGAATTATAAAGATCCTGATGTTGGTTAAAGATATAAATGGAATCCGAATGGAGATTTGGCCTCCTTGACTGGCCTTAATATACAAATCCAGATATATTTGAAGGGTAATTTGTTTTAAAATGAAGATCACATAGGAGACATGAATGTGTGTAAACTTTATGACTAAAATGATAAACAGAATACCCATTAGAATTCTCAGAACTATTACTAATTTAGAGGGGTGGGGGCATTTCTTGGTATCAGATAACTGGTTGAAGTTACTTTGGGCGAAAAAGAGCCCTCCTTTGTTTTTGTTGTTGGGTCACAAGAAATGTCCAGACTGATATCCATCACTTTTATAAACAACATGACAATTAGTTGACTTTTTTCTCTATGAGTTTCCTTTTTTATCGTCTTTCCATTCGTAATTATGTTTGCAGTTACAGGTCTTTGTTTGACAGCTTCAGACCACAGGAATCACACAGGCAAGCCACATAGAGTACTGACCCTTCTTTTACACTTTTATAGTAGTGTTTATACCATATGGCCCAGTGTGGAATTCTTGATTATCCAAGTGCCTTTGGTCATTTGGTGGCAACAAGACTTAATGGCTTTTTAGCCAGTGGTGCCACAGCCAGACTTTACTGCAATATCTAAATGGTCAAGTAGTGTTTTTGTACCACTATTATTTCAAATACAAGTATTCTGCCATGGAAAGATCCATGCGGGGCTGGAACTTGACATATGAAATCCTCCATATTAAGATTTATTTCTGCCTGGCAGCTTTTTAGGAGAATGGTGAGAGTTTCAATTTTGACTCTTGTGTTCTTAGAATTCAAATGGCATAGCTTCCTAAAGTCAATTTCTCAAGTTTAAATAGTCCATAGTAGGAGTGTTGTGATTTTAATTTCAGTGTTTGTTTTTGTAAAAACAAATATATATATCTCCACATATATGACTTTATGCCAGTTTCCCAGTAAGCCTCTTTTATTCACTACTCAATGATAATGCGTTGTTACAGACACCATCACATGAGTCCACAGAAGTAAATAATTACTTAGAAGATGGAGAGTGTTAAATTATATTTGTGTAATAAGAAGTTTAGCTATATTACTAGCCTTCTATTGCCAACTATATTTCAGACACATAGGGGTTTTTTCTCTCCAAAATTGTTAACTTTTTTTAGCTAACTAGCACCGGAGGAACAGTAGTTATTTGTACCACTTCACTATATTGTATATAGTTTTATAATGATTAAAATTCCAATGGCCATATTAGAATGTAATTTCAACATATGATTTATTTAGATAGTTATCCAGAGGATTCTGAAATAAGACTTAGCTGGGAGGATAACTTTGCTCAGCACAAAACTGAAACTTAATCATTAACACCATGCTTTTATTTTAACAGACTTCTCAACATTTCCTCCCCTCTTTTGCCTTGTTACTTTAGTGCACTTGAAACTTCAACAAAGCTTCTTTGGATTCTCTGGGCCATCTGATTTCAGTTTGGATCCGATTGGCCATCCTGAATTTATTATGTTATTTATCTGTTCTTTTAGAAAAATCATGCCATCTAGTTTCTGAAATAAGATGTAAAAAAAAAAAAAACAAAAAAAAACCCTTTATTTTTGCCAAGCTTTCTTTAGCAAAACCTATGTTACAGCTTCTAAAATGTGAAGAAACAACTAATATAGTTGAGTAGTATATTATTAGGAAAGTGAAAGTATTTTATGGGTACTTATGGGCAAGATGTGTAAAGGAGGTTGGTGCGATGGCCTTTATGGTGAGGCATCCATTTGCTGTCCCCTAGAGTGAGTGTGTAGCTTAACTTGTATATAGTTTTAAAAAAATTCCATGATCTTATTTGTTCTCTTACTTTCTCTTATATCTCATGGCACAAGTAGAGGGGGGGAGCTAGGAGGAAGCTTATCACCTTGCTATGCTTTTATTTAATTTTTAACCCTTGAGTGCCTAAATGTGGTGACTGGCACCTCACATAACCTTTTGAAATTCCTGATGTCGTTTTTTTATCCTCTTTCCTGTCAACCAGCAACCATGATTGTTGACGGCAAGTTTCATTGTTGATAGTGCAAAGTGTTGCTGTTGTGATGTGTATTTATTTTGTCCAAGTTTGAGTACCCTATTGGATAAGTTTAACTTGAGCTGGTGGCTGATATCTATTGGTTTGCTATGGGAAAACAATAGTACAGTTTTTCTGAAGTCTTCAACAAAATTTTTTAAAATATTTGAATATAAAAAACTTGAGCAATTTTGAAAAGTTTTTTGTTTTAAGGGTTGCCACAACATTCTCAAATTGGTGGTTTTTAATGGACATGTATACATACTATTTACTTTCTTGGTGTGTTTAAAATATTTTTTGATAGACTGTTATGTCTAAGTACATTAAAAGGCAATTATTTGTAATGGAATCGAATTGTTTCCTTGAACAGTTTGATGTGCATATGATTAAGATTTACAATCTGGTTGTACTTTGCTTTTTAACTTATTAACTGTAAATAAATTTTAAAGACTATAGTGTCTTGTTTTTCTAATGTTGAGAATTTTTCAAATGGGTTTTTTGTTTGCATGTGAATTGGAAAACATGTTAATTTATAATGTGATCAACTTTGACTTTGGGGTGAACTTCAGCCTTGGACATCTAAAGATTTGGTTGTGTATGTTATCTTGGGAATTTGTTATATTAACTAATTATCTAATGAATCTCCAAGTTAGGGCTTCATGCATAAACCCAAGCAACTACTCAGTTTGCAGCAATACAAACTTTAAAAGTACATCAAAATTAAACTTTGAATTCTGAAGCCAGGTACCCCAGTGATGTAGAAAAAGATCAAAGTTCACCTTCTCTCATATAATGAATGAGTGTTCTATGTGAGTAACTGTACTAAAGGCTGCTCCGCTGAAAAAGATTAGAGCCGGAATTTTCCCCAATCTTGAAGATAGAAGAGGGGCATTAGTAAGAATAGGATTGGTTGTATTATGTGGCCAGAATTTGTCTTTTTCCCAGAATTCCTATCAATGATTAGATCAGCATAGTGTCATAGTTGAAGAATCACAGAGGTAGGATGGAATTAAGACTAAGTATTGACTTCAAGTATTGTATCTCTAGGTTCATTGACATTGTCTGCCTTTTCTTCTTCTAGTACTGAATGAGTTTAGTAAAAGGATCTACCAGGCTTTGGTAAGGATTAAAAGGGATATCACAGTGGGCACACTGGCAGTACTTAACAGAAATGCTATTAATTGGAAATATGTGTGCTGAGAGTAAATATGTGTACTGAGTGAGTATAGTACCCCTAGGAAGGTTGAGGTCTGGGAAAACTAAAAGGCAAATTAAGAGAGGGTAATTTGTATGTGACTTAAATCAAAGACAGAAATGTCTACATTATTTGTAACCTGGTGACAAACATCAAGAAGTTGGATTAAGTGATTTATTAGAAATTTTCCCTTTTGAGGGGTTTTTAAGATTAATTGGGTTCTTTCATCAATGATATCTCTGAAAGGTATTTAAAATGTGCTGTTAGGTGTTTTAAGCTGGAAACTCACAAAATAGAATTCTATACACAAGTGAGAGTAAGTGATTTATAGTACATACAATAGTACAAATGAATCATATAAAGATGATTTTTAATAGAAGCTAGGCATATGAAACAGTTGCGTTTACTATAAGTTTGCCAAATTTTCACACATAAGTTTTCCACTTGTGTAAGGTCAACAAAAGATGCTTAAGAACCATATTTATTTTTGTGTAAATAGTTAAATTAGAATTAATTTGTGTATGTCACTAAATTAGAATCAATCTTTAAATTTTGGAGTTAATGACTAATTTAGCTCTAAATCCTCTGAGCACAAAAGAAGTAGAACATATTCTAACTTGGTGAGTAAGCCTAACTTGCTCTGTCTGAAATTGACACAAAAGAATTTCCTTAGATGGAAATTGTCCAGTCGGAAGAAACTCAAAACAGCCTGATTGCAGAATTCACAAGAGCTTCTCATTGCCAGCACTCACTTTTCTTAGTGATTATCATTCTAACCCAGGATCAGTAACATGCTAAACTTACCCAGAGCCCACCGAGAAGGTAACCATCAAATACAACACCAAATACAAGTTTGAATAATTACTACACTGGACTCAAAACTAGATGGTTTTTGCTTCTGAAAGTATTCATGCAAATGTCAC